GCTCCCTCGCTGGGTATCTTCAAAAATCAACTTAAAACATGGATGTTTCAGCAGGACTTCCCTCCAGTCAATCCCTGATGTCCTTTCCCCCCCTCTATTTGCCTCTTCTATTATGTTTATTTTATGTAATACTGTTTTTTATATATTTATTGTTCTATTTTATGTTGTTAGCCGCCTAGAGTGGTCTTAACCGACCAGATAGGCGGGATATAAATAAAATAAAATAAATAAATAAATAAATATGCTCTAGAACAGGGGTCTCCAAAGTATGGCCAGCAGGCTACATATGGCCCGCCTGGCCTTTTTATCTGGCCAGTCAGTGCATGGGTTGGCATGCAGACGTACATGTGGGTGGGAATGCATGTGTGTGTGTATGCATGCATGCATGCAGGTGGGTGGGTGGGAGTGTGGGTGGGCAGGAGTACGTCTGTACATGCACACGTGTGTTCCTTCGACCCTCAAAAGTATCACAAATATATTATGTGACCCTCAATGTGAAAAGTTTGGAGACCCCTGCTCTAGAATGTTCCGATGAGTTTCGCACAGGCACAGAAATACCCGTATGTGTAATTAATTCACAGAGACCACAAACAAGAATTATTATCACAAAATTCAGATATCAAAATTCCTTAAAAATACAGTGGATAAAATCCTATTACTTATTGTAGTAATACTTCATTAAGATACTTCTTTAAGCACCAGCAATAATCTGATAAGGCAACATATATTTTATAAGGTAATATATATTATATTTTATAAAGCAAAGGCTAGATTGTATCAGCAAAGACAGTAAAATGATATGGCCATGATGAGGTAAAATTTTAATTTCCTAAAATGCGTACATTAGAGAGTAAGGCAAAAAATAAGTTTGTCAGAGAGTTTAAAACCCCCCAATATGCAATGCATACCCAACCAATAAAACAGGAAGCACTTGGATCCAATATGACATTTCCTGCATATGGTATGTTTCAATGTTTTCTAAATTTACTTCTTTAACAGTTGCATTGTGCAGCAGAAATGTTCACATGAGGCTTAATAACAAACTGGAGACACCTGCACTTCCTCCACATTTCATGTTTCTCTATTTACACTGTTCAAGCAACTTCTGTTTGATAAATACAGACTTACTTGGAAATCCTCTGAGATGCCACTTTCCTGATTAGCGCCTGTCTGTGGCTGGCAGGGGGCTTAGGAACCAACTGTGAAGAAGCACTCTGGGATGGCATTATTTTGTGAATGCTGGGTGCTTTCTGGCAGCTAGAAATGGCACTTGATGTTTTGCAGGCACCAGGACCAGATGAGAGAGTCATACTGCCGATGCTAGATGCTGGGAGGTTGGCAAACAGAGCCTAGTAGGGAAGAAAAGAAAACAGTTTTAATGTATTTGTTCTTCATGACTGGTTTGGACAGTCCATGTAATCAACTAGCTCTTTTATAACCACAGAACTATTAATATTATGGTAATGAGAAGAACTATAATTTCATGCACTTTTTCTTTCCATGGTGGACTAATTTTCCACAGTCCACTGTGGAAAAAAGAAGTCCATGAAAATTATAGTTCTTCTCCTCATCACCAAAACATAATATATGTGAGTCTCTTGCTCAGTACTGTATCTGTGTCTCCCATAATGGCGTGCAGACAAGCAGCTCTCTCGCCCAGTGGGAAGAGTCAACAAAGCAACTTCTAACAGCATGACTGTCAGAGGCTGAAGAAAGGTCAGGACTGTTTTACTTGGGTGCACCAGACATCCAAAAGGCTTTGTTCCTTTGCTATGATGTAATCCTGGCTGCTCTACATTTTAGCCAAAATACAGAGACAAGGAACTGATACTGACCTCAGCTCTAGGTTCAGCTTCAAAGAAAGCTGCCCCACTGTGAATCCCCTCAGTGTATACTAGGAAGCCAGAAAGAGTTACTCAGCAAACAAGACTGCAGCAAGTCAGGTCAGAAGGTCTGACCACACAATGAAATAATACAGAGATGGGAAAATAGCATAGAAACCACACACACACATATACACATCAATATATCTAAACTTAAAAACATTGTATGCAATTAATCTGGTATAATAGAGGAATGAACCCAAGAGAAATTCATGCATAAAGTAGTCAGATGTATATACAGGCATTAGCTTGCTGAAATATCCCCAGTAATATTTAAAAGACGAGCGATATGTACAGATGTCTGAAAGGAACAACTTTATATTTCCTGTAAAAACATTATCACTTCTAAAAAAAAGGAAAAGAAACAAATCGAAGTCATATTCTGGTAGTAGGCATCCTTCAGTCTCGAGAGACTATGGTAACGTGCTCTGTATGGAGGCCTTGGAACAGCGTCTACTGTGGCTGAGAAGGCCAATTTGAGAGTGACAATCCCTTCCACATTGAAGACAAATACAATCTGTCCCCTATCCAGCTCCCTGCTTTTGCTGGTTTCGGGACTGCCTCTTTGCCTCGGCCTGCTGTACAAGTGTCTCTCCAAATTGGGTGAGGCCATGATGCACCGCCTGCCTCCAGGTTGAATGCTGAGACGTCAAGGTTTCCCATCAGTTGAGGCTCATTCCTAAGGCCTTCAGATCCCGCTTGCAGATGTCCTTGTATCGCAGTTGTGGTCTTCCTCTGAGACGCTTTCCCTGCACTAATTCTCCATACGTGAAATCTTTTGGAATCAGACCATCAGCTATTCTCATGACATGCCCAAGCCAAGATGGTGCTGTTTCAGTAATGTATACATGCTAAAAGTTCCAGTTCCTTCTAGGACTAGTCTATTTGGAACTTTGTCCTGCCAGGTGATACCAAAAAGGCGTCGGAGACAACGCATATGGAAGGTGTTCAGCTTCCTCTCCTGCCGTGCACAAAGGGTCCAGGACTTGCTGCAGTACATGAGTGTGCTCAGGACACAGGCTCTATAGACCTGGATTTTGGTCTATGCCATCAGCTTCTTATTAAGCCATACACTCTTTGTGAGTCTAGAGAACATGGTAGCTGCTTTCCTAATGCGTTTATCATACTCACTGAGTAAAGTCATACTCAGTGGCTGAAATAATGTAATTTTTTGCTTCTGCTTCTGTTTCTGCTTCTCTTCCTGAATGATATTCAATAGCAAAAAAGAACCACATCTTCATGGATAAAGTCAGCATTTCATGGTCAAATAATGTTGCACGTGTTACGTGGCATTAAGTCAGAATTGACTTACAGTGATCTGAATAGGACTTTCAAGATAAGCGAGATACTGAAGGAATGGTTTTACCAGTCCCACCCCATCACCAGTGAGTTTCTGTGGCCGAATTGGGATTTTAAGTTAGGTCTCCTGAGTCTATCTACTACTCTACCCTGGGTGCACCAAAGAAAATACCAGTGAATGCATTTGAAGAAAAAAAATAGAGTTTCTGAATAAATTTGAGTGAGTAGGAAAATTTGCAACATGAACGGTCTCATCTTTAACACAAATCTTTCCAACTTATATTAAGTTGCTTTAGGGCTAGACTGATGACGCTATTTTCTAGACAAAATAGCTTTGGAAGCACTCCATGGCTAACTATTCAGATAAACAAAATGCACAGAGACTATAGATATTAAATAGGATTTCATGTGAACACATGATCTTCCTGATCAGCCAGACAGAATTTCCCACTGATTCAACTGATTTACCCAGTTTTAGTATTTGTTCTATTATATTGCATCAGATCATGACAACCAACACCAATTCATCTACAAACTCACTTTTTCTTCCACTTTGTAAAAGAAATCAAAACTATGGGATTACTTCTTCATGGATTATTTTATCTTCTTCTTTTTCAAAGATAATGAAGTGAACTGCACATGCTGCCCTGAGCACTATGAGAAGGGAGGGCAGGGTAAAAATCCAATTGACAGATCTGCTTTGGTATGGTTGGCTGCTGAGCCGCATGGCAGGGCATCAAACATTTCAAGAATTTAGAAATCATGTAATATATAAGGAGCGCCATAATCTCTGTTGTGTAAAATATTATTTTACTTGAATGATAATGTATCCAAAATTTGAGCAGCAGCACACATAAGGTCTTGACTGTCAAGACTCTAACACTGGAACTCAAAGCTATATAAATGGTGGCTAAATCAAAGCACTTCATACTTCTGGTGTACTTCAGATATGTTCCATCGCTCCCTACCTATCTATACGGACGAATATTTTTAGACAAGCTCTAGATTCATTTTGAATGGTGCCAGCCAGGTATTTATAATAGTTTACAAATAATGTAATGTCTCTCTGTTATTCGCAAGAAACATTCTTCTTTGAGATTCTTTACACACAAACAGAAAACAGATTAATGCTGAACATACATGTGTATATGAGAATGAGTGAGTGCAGACAAATGAAGGGAAAGGGGCAAGGTTACGCACCAAAACAAGTACTGTATGTATGTATGAATGCCTAGGAGTGAAGGATGCATGCATATGTATGTTCTGAAGTATGGCCAATGGCTAATTTAAATTGGTAGTATGGCCTTTAGCCAATAAAAGACACTTTCCTCCACCCCACACCCTGGGCTAGAATGAGCCTGTCCCCCTTTCCATATGATTTAAAACATATTGGTGGGCCTCTCGCTGCCAAGTGTCCAGTCCAGAATAATAGACTAACAAATACATAAAAACAGTTTTCACTTGCATTTCTGCACAATAGCACCACTATTAATACTCATGCAATGTCCATGAACAAATAAATAAATTCAGACTATATCACATGGTTATAGGAAAAGAAAAGCTCAAAACACTTTTTAGTGTAATTAAGCACCATGAACCAAAAGTACAGTATCTGAACAGCAGAAAAAGAACCAAATGCTTTAGCAGGACATTTCCCACTTGATCACATTAAAAGGAACAAAATTATCTGTGTATTCCAAGCCAATAACACACTTGCATTTTGACCCTCCTACTATAGAAAGCAAGCTGCCACTTTTTGTCTTAAAGTACAACTAGAACAAATCATTGTCAATCACAGTTTAGGGTCAAAAAAGAAGGGATACGGATAAATTACATGGAAATGACTGAAGTACTAGATCAGAGAATCACAGAATAATGGAGATGGAAGAGGCTTATCAGACCATCAAGTCAACACTGCTCAATATCCTGCTGCTTAGAAATAACTAGGTGAAGGTTTCTGTAGATGCCCGAACACCTCCAAGTAGGTAGTCCTAAGCAAGGTTATGAGCCCCAATCCTAGAATTAGCTCTGTTACATGATTATTAGTTGGCATCTAAGATGGCAAGAAATGCCTTCTTGCAATTTCATGCTCTATTATGGCAAAAAAGCTCAATGTAGATAAAAGCTATGAACCTTGAAGAAGATTCTAACCGTGATTTCTTGTTCTCAGAGTCTTGAGGGATCACCCCACCTCTGAAGCATGCAGGCACAGCCAACTGTCACTTCAGAGGAAGGAGCTGCACTGCCCTGCCAAACCAAACTAATACAACAGAGATAGGAAAGCCTCAGCCACCTGCTCCAGGCAAGAAACAGAAAGAATTAGGCCAATTGACATACAAGTTTAGACTTGACTTGTCTATTCACAAGAGTATCAAAATCTAAGGCAGGAGAGGGGAGAATGAGACAGGAGGAGGAATCTGGAATCATGAGCCCCCAAATTCTTCCCTGCATATGTAGCAATGACAAAAGTTGTAATCCCTGACTCCTTTCCCCATTGAAAAATAAATTCCCTGAGCCCTGGTCCAAGTTGGTGGATGGAATGCTCTCCATGAGGCCCTAAGAAAAGAAATTTGTAGTAATTAAATTTCTATTTTCCTTGGAAGTATCACCTTGGGATGTAATAGTCCAGCAAATAGGCTACAAGACCTAGCATTCTAATCAACTAATATATATTCTGTACCCAAATGTTGTTTCTGCAGAAGTAGTGTTTAATAAACATCTGTACTTAAGCCCATAAAGATGCTTTACAAATGTCAAAATTTAGGAAGTCTCCTTTAAAAAGAGCTGAAGCAGTTGGCACCACCCCTGTAAGCAGTCAGGCATCATCCCCTAAAGCATATTGATTCCTAGAGTCTGATAATCCAAACCTACGCATTCCATCAAACATTCAAGTAATGGAAAATTTAGACAACTTACCATGCAGAGCCTTAGGGTCAAAAGAAGCAAACAGAGCTGAACTCCTGCACACTGCCATTCTATTTAAGTGGGGTTGGACAAAGTGCAGCCCTCCAGATTTTATAGACTGTGACTCCCATCATAACTAATGGTAAGGAATTATGGAAGCTGCTATCCAACATTATCTGAAGAGGAGCATTTTGCCCACCCTTCACATCCAATTTTTGCAGGCTCTCTTCCAAGGACAAAGAATTCTGGGATAAAAAGATGGC